ACATATGATCTGGCCTGGGCAACTTCTTCTTCCTTCTCTTTCTCCTATATTTTTATTTTATACTGATAATTTTAACTTTGTATTTGTAAATCAATGTATTTTTTGTATTGTTATATTTAATGGTAATTTTATTATGTACTATTGTATTTCAATGTATTTTATCATGTTGTAAGCCGCCCCGAGGTTTCGGCAAGGGGCGGCATAGAAATGTTATAATAATAATAATAATAATAATAATGCAGCTGGAAGGAGAGGATGAGCTGACAGAAGCGTCTTCCATGGCCAGCCCTCTGCTCTCCCACCCAGAGAGGGGACGGGAGCAGCAGCTGCTTTCCCTTCAAGATACAGTGGAAGCACTAAGCCCACTTCTTGTAAAAGGTGGGCTTCCTGTAAAACAGAGCTTGAACCATCCAAGTAAACCAGGTGAGAGGCACATTGGAAAACTAATTCTGCACCCCTCTCTATTTTACTCAGGGACACTTGTGAGCTTGTGCACTCGGGGGCAGCCAGGCAGGTGGACCATGTTGAAGGAGCTGGCGTTCCACGTACCCGGTAAGCCTCTACGTGTGACTGTGTGATCAACACCAGGTTCATCTGTGTTTTATGAATGGGCATTGCAGACTTCGAAGAATGCTTCCTGACAAAGGTCAGCCGGCAGCACCAAGCAGAAAACGGCGGCTATCCCCTCTTCATGATTTTTTAACTTTTTAAGAGATGGGAGAAGTGGTGGGAAATCAGAGGAGAATTGCAAACGGAGGAATGGCTCCCCCATACATTCCATGATAGCAGATTTAAAGTCTCTTCTGCGTAGCTAGAAAATGCAAGTATGGGCTTCACACTTCGGGGTGGGAAGGCAAATGCAGGGTTTATGTTGCAAAACACCACAAAATGACTGAAAATGTCGGCATGGGTTTGGCATGAAAACAGCAGTGTCGGTTTTGGTGTGTTGATTGGGAAATGAGATTGGCCGTGACATGCTAGTGTGCTAGTGAGTAACATCCTCTGTGGTGGCCTCAGAGTGGGAAAAACACTCGTTGGGCAATTCTGAATACAGAAGTGCTGCACAGCCAAAAGGAATAAACCGTGGAGAGCAAGTGAAGCCCGATGGCAAAAGCAGGTGAACCAAGCCGCAGGACCAAGCGAACTGGATGTCTGGTACAGCGATCTAGCACTCGCATACTCCAAAAATTAAAGCTTCCATCCTGAACAGCTTTATTAGAAAGTAAGTCCCACTGATTGTACATTTCTTGCTGAGATTATTATTATTTTATTATTATTATTATTATTATTATTATTATAACATTTCTATGCCGCCCCTTGCCGAAACCTCGGGGCAGCTTACAACATGATAAAATACATTGAAATACAATAGTACATAATAAATTACCAATAAATACAAAAATACAAAAAATACATTGATTTACAAATATAAAATTAAAATTATCAGTATAAAATATAGTGTTATCAGAGCTCTCTGCAAGGATACAGGATATATTACTGTGTTGCAAACTCTGTCCATTCAACATTGCTTTCATCTTTTATTATCTGTGTACTCCTTTTGGAAAAAATACAGTACAGTTATATGCAGAACAAGGAGTGCCTTTTGGGTGAAAGGTAACCCAGCTACGAAAAGAAATTGGTGTAACATTTGGAATGTAACTGCAAGGATTTCTCAAAGAAGGGCAAGTTTGTACAACTTTGAAAACAGTTTAAATTTTGAAGAATCAGACATTTGAGCATTTGAATCATGTATTCCTTCCCCTGCCCTGACATTCTTCAAATGGCAATAGAATATTTGATAAATGCTGCTTTTAATTACTGATCTCTTGTGACTGCTGCCTGTTATTCAAAATGGGAAGGGGATTTTCGCAGATGAATCTCGGCACCACAGCTGCCTGCAGGACGTTGTCCGGGCCAGGCCGCCATTTCAGACACGTGCACTTGTGCATGTCCGATTCCAAAGTGTTTGCAGGCATTTGCATAAATCCCTTGCAAGACGCAACCGTTCAGAGGGGTGACAAGCCATGGACAGCCCCCTCAGTGTGATCCTGGGGCATCTGGAAGGAGCTGTCGCTGGTGCTCAAATCGGCGATCACAAAGAGCAATCCAAAAGCAAGGGTGGGGAGCTGTGGCAGATGCAGAAAGAGTTGGACTCCCAGTGGGAGGGACCGACCCGTGCCACGTCCACGCCCACGTGGCACTGCTGGTGGCCCAAGCTAGCTCAGCGAGAGCGGCAAGAGAAGATGCGTTCGCCACTCTTGCCAAGCGCCCGGTAGGCACTTCCCACAACCCATGATGGCGTCAGGTGCCCGGGTTCAACTGGCACAACCACCTACTGTGGGTCCAGCAATCCCAAGAACAAGCCGTGGGTTTTCAAGGTGGCTAGTTGCCCGCACACAAACTCCCCTGTGAAAACCAGCCCAGGTTCGTGTGCCGTGACAGCGCACAATGCGCTGTTGCGCCACCTGCAACCACGCAGTCACTGGGAAAATGTGTTGAACATGGCACAGTCTGACACGGGCTTTAACAGTTGGAACTGATTCCCAATGAGATGTGGGGCTTGGGTCCGGGATTTTTAATCCACACGCCCTGGGTGGGGCTGCCCCCCTCCACAGAGATGCATATATATTTTGAGGGTTCTCGTGGGTCCCCCTGTCGCTTGAGAATTGGTGTCCTCGATGGCAAAGACTGTCCGTGACCAGCTTAGGCTGGTGTGAGAGCCGCAACCTTTGTGGGGATAGCCTGCCACAGGGGTGCAGGTGCTGGTGGCTGCGAGACCGGGCTGTCACAGTGCGCTGTCTGTGGGGCTGCCCCCGAGATGGGGTGAGGAGCTGCAGCTGGCGCAAAATGCTCATGAAGCCCAAGCAGCTCAAGACCAGGGCATCCGAGGACCCCCCTCTCCCATATAGGCCACTCCAGTCCCTACCTGCAGAGGGGCAGGCCTTGCCGTGAATAGTGCGGCTGCCCAAGATTTGCTTGGCCACGCTGTGGAAGAGGGTCCTGTGAGTCGTGGCACCCACCACGTGAAGCCACTTCCCCACTGAGATCAGGCGCGCTCCCAGTGGGGGTGTTTCTGCCACACCTGGCACACTGCTTTGCCCAGCCCTGCCCCTGACAACTCTTCAACTACTCCCAGTTTCTGTAAGTGAAATGTTATTTCTCGCCATCATTTTTCAGTGCTTTTGCTGATTGGCTTTAAGGTGTTTTATCATGTTCTTATTGTATAGATGACTTTGGGATTTCTCTTTTTAAAAATGAGAAGTAGTATAGACAGTCCTTGAAATAAATCAAGGGTGCGTGAACAATAGAACTGATTACTGCTAGAAGTAGCAATGCTCACCCACAGGAACAGCTTTCAAGGGAAACTGGACAAACTTGTGGAAGATAAGGCTGCTGGCAGGTAAAGCTCTCAATATCACTCGCTGGGGAACATGGGTGAGGCGGTGCTGTCACACCCACGACTTGTGTGTGTGAGTGCAACCAAATGCCCAATGTGAGAGCTGAATGCTGGACCAGAGGTGCTTTTGTTCTTATATCAAATACTATTAAACATTCTGCTGCTTGTGATGTCACTGATGAGGAAAGACACATTTCTCTCTGCTGTCATTTTGCGAAATCAAAAATAATTGTTTACCATCTTAGTTATTTCTCAGATTTATCTGTGTGAGTTTCTCTGTAGCAGTCTAGCAAAAGCCCTCATTGTGCCATTTAAAAGTCAAAAAGGAGAGAAAGAAACAACATCAGTTGTAAGAAAATGCCACGGTTTGGCATCTGCTTTCTTCCCCACCTGCTGCTCTGAAGCACTTAAATGCTCATCTGCAAAAACTTTTCTGGATCAAAGCATTTTCAGAGGGTTGCACAGGTGGTCCCCTCGAACACACATCAGCACAGGAGTGAGTCTTGCTGTGGCCACATGCTCACACGACATCGGTACTAAAAAAAATACTGCGTTGCGCATTGCGCCATTATCTGAAACAGGCTTTTGATTACCGTCAGCATACACCGTCTTTTTCTGATGCCTAAAAGGACATAACGTGCTGGAAAGAAAAGGTGTGAGCTCTGACCCACCTAGACTAGGTGGGACAAACCAAAGGGAACCCGAGTCATAGGTTTCCTCGGTTGTGCAACTGTTTGCTGAAGAAAACACGTCAGATGGGAAGGCGATCTCGTGGTGAGACCGCAGGCAGGGCTTTCCTGCAGCTGCCCTAACATCACGCACCAGGGAACTAGTGACTTCTAAGACCGGGACGCAGAAAAAAAAGAACAGAGATTATTATTATTATTATTATTATTATTATTATTATTATTATTATTATTTCATTCAATTTCTGTGTCACCCCAGAGCTTGTACACCACTGCAGGCCAACCATAACAGCCCACCTGGGATTTGAATAAAAGCGTCTTGCAGAGGGACTGCTCCTCTCCTCTCCTCTCCTCTCTCTTTTTCCAGGAAGGGAGCCAAGGTCACATGGAGAAAATCTGCATTTTTCTCACGGTTTCAAGTTGTGTGATGCTTCTGATCTCTGAACTATCAGAAATCAGCTGGAGCGTCCCTGGCAGGCCGATACTGTCCGGAATATTCCCTGGATGGGCGCCTCACTCGTGCTTCGGCTTCCATGACTTTGTCACTTGGAGCCTGCAAATGGAAGAACAGGACGCGAAGGGGGGGTCGGTACCGTACTGAGGAGAGGGCAAAATCCTGCAACAGGGGCAGTTACGGTGCTCCAGTGAGTCCTTACTCGTGGTAGTTTGCAGGTGCCCTCTCCCCCTCCACAGCCACCCCCTGTTCTTGCAACAATTTCCGCAGCCTTCTTTCAACGGAGGAAAGTAGCCCATTATTTGGAAATGGTGGAATGGACCAAAATGAAACCTTGGCATGGTTGCAAAGTTCCACTATACCACATCACTGTGTAGCGGTTATGTGTCGTTCTATGACACAGATAGAATGGCAGAGAAAGAAAACCTCTGGGGACAGGGTGGAAGAAAACGCGCGCAGAGTGGCCGATCGTAATCCTGCAAAGAAACAGGACCCATGGAAAAGTGTTGAGGAGCAGAAACTATGAAAAGCCCCTTTGAGGGGTCTCAACCTTACAAGAAGCTGCCTTGACCATTTTAAGATAAATATTTTATTTATTAATTACTTTATCAAAAGCTTTTCTATCCCATCCCCTACAAATGTCTCGGGATGGCTTAAAAATAAACGCTTTTTAAAGAATACGAAGTTTCTCACAAGGTTAACCCCAATGATTTTATTGACACCTTAAAGCAGACTCCTCTGGCTTGGTGCACAGCAAATGTGTTGGGACTTCAGCTCCCCTTATCCCCTACCTGTAGCCAGATATGTATGGATATGGGTGGAACAGGAGGAAAATTATCATAGAATGGTATAGCAATAAAGGCTTTATCAATAAAAATGTGATAATAATGATTTACAAAGATAACACACACCCTCCTCCTGTCCACAAATGTACAATCTGGTCAGCAAGAGTCACACAAGATAAAGAGAGAAGAAAACGAGCAAACCTGGACATTCGTTCTTCCCGATGTTGCACAAGAGTTTAGTGAAAGAGCAACCCCGCATGTATGTGCCTGATCCAAAGTTAACTCCTACTGAGCTGAGTCCCTGCAGGAATGCGGCGAAGGGAGCCTTGGGCCGCGGCGCTTGGCAAGAGGCAGAGCCAAGTGGGTCAGGCCATCTCCCCCCCCCGCCCCCCGCTCTGCCGTGCCAGGTGGGTGTGTTGCGTTACTTGGCAAAAGGCAAGTGCAAACAGAGCCATCAATAAGGCAAGAGCCAGCACTGATGGCTGTGAGTCACTGCGAACCAGTCACGAACTGGAAAAGGAGTTGTTCGTGGCTATTTCATGATTTCTGCGATGGAGCAGCTGCTCGCAGCCTGTACGCAGCTCAGATTCATACCGGGGTCTTCCTTTGGAACGTTTTTTTTCCTTTTGGGCTGCAATATTACACCTTTCAAACATTCATTCATTCATTCATTCGATTTATAGCCTGCCTTTTTTCCTACAAAGGTCTCAAGGCAGCTTACATCATCTCTCCTCCTCCATCTTATCCCCACAACAACAACCCTGTGAGGTAGGCTGGGCGGAAAGTCTGTGACTGGCCCAAAGGCACCCAGTGGGCTCCATGGCCGAGCGGGGACTCGAACCCGGATCCTCTGAGTCCCAGTCCCAGGCTCTTAACCACTGCGCCACACTGGCTCTCATCTGCACCTTCCCGCCTCATTGTATAACGGCATGCCATCCTCCTGTCCGTGCTCCCCCGTGTCGAACGCTTCGGTCTCCTCCACCCTGTGGGGCTGGTGGGAATTTCGAGAGGACATCACGGCATCTGCGCCCCAGGGGATGCCCATGGACAAATTGGCTGTTGTGTCTCTGCAGCCGGTCCCCAAAGACTCATTGCATGGAAAAGCAAAGGCAGATGAAATGAAAAGCCACACACACAAGCCGAACACAAGGCAGGGGAGGGTCTGAAGCTCGGAGGATAACCTACTTCGAATCCAGCCATATTCTCTCTCAACCCGGAACATCTACCCCCCCCTCCATCCCAAGCACTCTAAAAACCAGCAAAGACAAGCAGCTGCAATATTTATTCATTTATTTTAGAGTTTTCTATACCGTCCTCTACCAAATAGACAGTCTTACAACAAAGCACAGCACAGCCTCAGTTCTATACAGTAAAACCCTAAGTAAAATAACCTAAACCTTTAAAATACCGGGGAAAATAAAAGGGTTTGGCTTGGTGCTGGAAGAAGAAAATGTTGGTGCCAGGCAAACCTCTCTGGGGAGTGTAATCCATAACCGGGGTGCCACTGCAGAGAAGGCCCTTCTCTGGATAGTGTCAGAATCCCGGAATCTCAATTTGAAAAGAGGAAATAGAACTCAGGGTCATAGGAAAGATCAATCGTTATGAACCTCCGCGTCTTTATTGTCTATCCCAGGTTCCTGCGGTTGACTTACAATAATGCATTACTGGCCTAGCAGAGATGAACTCGCTGCCAAGCTTCAATACCATTACAGGGCATTTATAGGTACACAGGTACAGGGCAACTGATGACAGAATGCAGAGGTTACAATAAGATTCTGAGGTCATCACAGACAGAACTGATCAAGACATGTCAGTCAATCACACTGTAACAATGAGATTAAAATATTTCTAATTGCCTGTACTGACACTTTGAGTAACTTGAACCCATCTCCAGCTCTGCTCAGACATGCAAATTCAAGCTCCTAGAAACTGTTCATGATAAGCTCAGCCCCCATCTCGACTCTAAACATTCTGCATGATCAGGGCACATGAAGCCCTCTGGGCTATCAAAAGATTATTGTAAACTGAATTCCAACAATGACTATTTTCAATGTATATTTGGGCTACAATGGCCTGTCTGCTGTAGCCCACAGCTAAAGGTGAGAGAAAGGAGTGGGGGATGCCATTTTAAACAGTGACAGCTTGGTTTTGAGGAGGAGTACAGGATTTGATCCCACAATGCAAAGGCACACAGGAGTAATGCTTTCCGGACAGGATTTATCCACATTTTCCCAACAATAGGCACTCTCCTCATCTTCAAAGAGGGCCCCAAAGAAGGACCTCTGCCCCAGATCTTAAGGGGTGTGCAGACACATAGGGAACCGAGTCCTAAGCCACCTAGGGCTTTGTACGTCATCACTAACACCTTAAATTGGCCCCGGACTTCAACTGGTAGCCAGTACAGTTGATAAAGGACCTGCATTATATGTGCATATCTGCTGGTCCCAGTTAACTTCCTGGTTGCTCTTTTCTGAACCGACTGAACATCCACCCCAGATTTTACTCTGAACTTTAAAGGGACTACCCTCAGTCTGAACTGCACCCCCAAAGTAAATTACACACAATGCACAGTGCTTAAAGTTCAGAGTAAAATCTGGAGCAGATTTACCACCCTGCTGACCTTGGGGTCCAGCCTCCACTGCTTAGGAGCATCAGAAGCTGCTTCACACCCCGCCCGACCTGGCTTGCGCCTTCTAGCGCACGATGGCTGACACCGGCTGGCAGCAGCGGCTCTGGGTCTGGCCACATCGAGATGAAGGCCCCCATTTCTGGTCTGTCCCCCCCAAGCCCCCCCCCCACTGGCCCTTTCCGGGTTTCCTGCAGCCAGCCAAGCCTTCTCATGGCCACAGCTCCTATGGGGTAAAAGACCTAGGGCCCGTGCCCAGGTGAGCCACCCACCTGCACCACCTGCACATGGCCAGGTGATGTGGCAGACCCCCCCCCCACAGAGAGTGAGGGCTGCAAAAGAAGGGTGCGGGGCTCCAGGGCAATCCAGCGCACCGCTTCAAAGGCAGGGGCCGGAAGGGCCACATGCACAGTGGGCCCGGGGTGCCAGATTTAGGGCCAGCGGGCCCGGGGTGCCAGATTTGGGGCCAGCGGGCCCGGGGTGCCAGATTTGGGGCCAGCGGGCCCGGGGTGCCAGATTTGGGGCCAGCGGGCCCATGTGGAGCTTGAAGGGCCGCTGCGGGGGGACCACTCGCTAAACAGGCGTGGCAGCTCACAGAGCACGCGTGGCCAGAAGCCGGTGCGGAGAGGAAAAGGGGGCGCCCCACGAGCTCAGCGCAGAACGGAGCGGGGTGAAGCCGCCAGACGCAGAGCCGCCCCTCGGAGCCCAGAGCAAGGCCGGGCTGAGGGAAGGAGCGGGCGGTGGCCCGGTCCACCAGCCGGACGGAAAGGCTTGATCCCCCGCCCGCTGCCAGCCCAGCCACAGCGGGGTGCCTGCGACCCCTGTGCGGCTCCGGGGAACCTTCCCGACCCAAAAGCAGGAGGAAACGGCTCTGCATCGCTACAAGCAGCTTCGCTTCGTGTTTTATTGCTGCCCCACTCTTCTTCCCGCAGGAAACCTTAGAACGGATCGCAGAGCCTGCAAAGCTGTCCTACCTTGCAGGGTTGTTGTTCTGAGGACAAGATCGAGAGGAGGAGGAGGCGGATTCATCCAACTGCCTAGAAATGACGCCAGAGGAAAAGGCGAAATGCAAAGCTAATTAATCAATGGGTACATTCGGGGCGGGGCGGGGCGAAGCGGAGACGTTTCCCTTATTAGGAAAGACGTCGCTCCGAGCAGAAAAGCGGGGCAGCTCTCCACCCCTGACGTCATCGCGCTCCTTCGCTCCTGATTGGTCAGGAGATGCGTGACGCCACGTGGCCTCACAGCGACCCCGTGGGTGGGCGTGCCGGAAGAGGCGGGGAGGCGCAACCATAGAGTGGAGGGAGGAGGCATTTTCTATCTCGGTGGCGCAGCTCCGCCATCTCGGCTGTGCGGGCTGGGGATGATGGGGGTTGCAACCCAGCCCCAGGGGGAGCAGGCCGCTGCGGAGACACTCCAACCGAGAGGAACTCTCCTCGGCCGGTTTTGCTTTTGAGAAGGCGAGATTTCCGGTCGCGATGCTGGCTGGGAGTTGTAGTTTTCGCCTCATGGCGCCCTTAGGCCCATTTCCGGGAGGGATGGCGTCACTGGCGGGGGCGGGGCCAGCTGGAGAAGTGCGTGTGCGGCCCCGCCGAGCGCGCAGAAGCCGGTCGGAGGCGGCAGCGGCATCAGCAGCATCAGCAGCATCAGCAGCGAGGTGAGCCGGCGGGGCCGGGAGGGTTCAGCGATCTGCGGGAGCTCCTCGGGCGAAAGGGGCAATCGCGGGGGCGCTGTGAGAGGAACCCCCCCTGCGGCGGTAGGTGGTGGCAGCTTTCTGGAGGCCGAGGAGGTAATTTCCTGCCCCCCATCATCCCCGGCTATTGGGGCCCCTCCGCCGCGCCCCCCATCATCCCCGGCCAGTGGGGCCCCCTCCGCCGCGCCTCCCGTCATCCCCGGCCAGTGGGGCCCCTCCGCCGCGCCCCCCTCCTCCCCCGGCCGGGGGGCCCCCTCCGCCGCGCCCCCCCACCACCCCCGGCCAGTGGGGCCCCTCCGCCGCGCCCCCCGTCATCCCTGGCCAGTGGGGCCCCTCCACCGCGCCCCCCATCATCCCCGGCCAGTGGGGCCCCTCCAACCCCTTCATCTGATTGCTGCTATTCGAAAAAAGGGGGTGCCCTTATTTATTTTTATTTGCCCTCTGCCCTGCTCCTTTTCCCCAGTCTGGGGTTGCCCCCCCCCCCCCCCCCCCCCCCCCCCCCCCCCTTTTTCCCTTTTTAACCCAAAAACCGGTTTCCCCCCCCCCCCCCCCCCCCCCCCCACTTGGGGGTGGCCCCCCCCCCCCGCCCAAACCATGGCAACACTTTTCTGACTGTTAAGCATGAAAGCCGGTTTCCAGCTCTGCCTCTGCCCCATGCAAATGTGGCCTGGGCTGCTCCCGCACCGCTTCCTCCTTTGCCAAGGAGCCTCGTGCAGGCAGGCGGGCGTGCGGGGCTGGGTGCCCATGCAGGGCGCATCCGGGCGCTGCAGTGCCCAGTCCCCCCTCTTCTCCGGCTCCCCCATTTGGTGGTGGCTCCCCGGCCCGCATCAGCCAGCCAGCCCCCTGTCCGTTGCTTCCGGGAGGAACGGCTGCTCGAGGCAGGAGGGGATTTTTTAATGCTGGAAGGGCTTTGGGGAGCTTCACAGGGCAAGGGGTGACTCTGGCAGCCCTTTTGCCCACCCGCCCCCCGATAAACGGGTGCTTTTAAAATGGACGCTGCGTGTCAGGAAAAGGGGGGAAAGGGATCAAGGGCAGGGGAGGGGAGGTGAGATGTTAAGGTCATGGGTACAGCTCGGGGCACCGAAGAGGCTAACTGGGCACGTGGGTTTGGAGTAACTGGGAGGGGCCAGAAGGACTGGGAGGGGGGGCCGCACGCACGTCCGGGCGGCTTGACTCTGACGCAACCGGAGCCGAAATGCCGGTGCCGGATGAAGTAACAGGTCTGGGTGAGCGATGACTAATGTTGATGGGAACAGTTCCTGCCCGGAGGAGCTGCATCGGGGGCCAACGTGGGCATCGCCCCTGCCCTGCCTTGCGCTGCACGGCCCCCGAAGCCGCTCGGCACCGAGGCTTGTGCTCTCAGAATAACGCTGGAGGTGTCGCTTGCTTACATCCCCTGCAACGGTTCTGTTTCAAGAGAGTAAGTGGAAAAGGAAGTCATTAAGCGTCTCCCCCGCTCACACACCCCACATGGCTGCGTCAGTCACTGCCCCTTGTGCTCTCTGGCCAGGTAGTCCTGGGACAGAAAAGCAGCGGTGCTTCGCGTTCTTGCTCAAGGCAGGTTCAAAGGATCAAGGTTGGAGTCAGGAATCGGAATAGTAGAGCTGGAAGGGGCCAGGCCATCGGGTCCAGTCCCCGGCGCTCCCAGTGTGGGGCTCCCGGTCAAACCTTCCCTGTGGGTCAATACTTGCCGTTCACAGGAGAATTCTGTTTTATTTTTCACCCAGTGATATATTCGCTGCTCTGTTGTAGCACACAAAGTCTGTTCTCGCACGAACGCTGGGCTTTATCTGACTCAAGGGTGCTTCCTTACAACCTGCTTCAACGGAGGTGCCAAATGCTAAATTCCTTGGGAAAATTCCTCCCACTGAGATGTTTTCTGGCTCTTAGGAGTACATTCCTCAAGGCTCATGTGCCGTGCCGTCAGCATGGGAGAGTCGCTGAGCTGCCGGCACACTCAGCTGCAGCACATCCTTGAAGTGCTGCCCTGTGGGGCTGAGAAAGGTCCGTGGACACGGGGTCCAGCCAGGGACCCCCACTTCAGCCAGGGACCCCCTGTGGGGCTGAGAAAGGTCCGTGGACACGGGGTCCAGCCAGGGACCCCCGCTTCAGCCAGGGACCCCCTGTGGGGCTGAGAAAGGTCCGGCCAGGGACTGCCGCTTCCGTTTGTTCCACCTCCTTTCAACAAGTCTCTTCTTGACCTTGAATGTTGCTGGAAGGTCGTGGCAGCCTGAGAAGCTGCCTTGCATCCGAACAGTTTGCCCCTCTGCAGTGGGGCCCCAGCCTAGAGTGGGGTAGGAAGGAAGGAAGGAAGGGTGAGGCCTCTCCGGCCCTGGAACCCGCAGCTCGCAACGCCCCGTGGCACAATGGGCTACCAGACCGCTGGCCGTCCTTGCCCTTGCGGGAGGTGCTGTCCTAGCCAGAGCTGTGGGAGCCGAGGTGTGGCTGGACTTAGCTGGCACCCCTGCTTTTCCAAGCCCTCCAGATGCTGGGCTACAGCTCCCATCACGGGTGGGGGCGGATGGGGCTTGCAGTCCCACAGCCAGAGATTTATAGGTTCTGCACTGCTCTGAGCAGAATACCTGACTCGCTTGCTAGCTTGAATAAGGAGATTTTCTTACTAGGTCGCTTTATTAACTATGGGTGTGCTTGTATTTCATGCTAACCCACCCCAGCTTAAAGCAGTTGCTTGCCCCCCAGACAACCCACAGTGGGCACCCCATAGGTTGTTCTGCCCCATGCCTGCCCTCCAGGGGACTCGTGCCAGCAGCTGCCGTGTTTCCTCCCAAGCTGTGATCACAAGCCCTTTTGGGCTCCCTCCAGGTTTTCTCCCCCCCCCCCCCCCCCCCGTTTTAGTTTGTGATCTGCAACGTGGCAGCCGGCACATTGCAGCGACTCTCACTGGTTGGCTGCTCCTTTCTTAAAATCTGTGTGACATATATTTAAATGCTCTCATGCAGAGACGAAAGGATCCGACCCCCCCCCCAGCCATTGCCATGCTGAGACATTCCATTTTCAGAACTCCATCTTTGCTTTCTTAACTAGTTGGATTTGCCCAATGAGAAAATGCACGCATTTGGGGCACTTTTTTGGAAGGTGGTGAACCAGTGCCAGCTCCCCAGTGCGTGTGTTGGGCACTCCGGAGCTGGTGGTGGCGACTCGGGTGCGATCGCCCGGAGGGGCAGGGCTGTTGCTCTCGTGCCTTGCTCGCTGCTCCCGTTTACGCAGGGTGGGATCGGTCCCTGGAGTCCGGATGTCACGGCAACCCCTCATGGATAAACCAGATGTCAAACAACCCATGGGGCTTTCTGGGTGGGAGGAATAGGCCGGCCAGCCTGGGGAGGCAATCTCAGTTTGGTTTGTACCACGAGGCAGCCACAGGTGGCAGTTAGCCCATGCGGGGTTGTTCTGTCGTGCGAACCGAGTCTGTGCTTCTCGGGTTTTAGTCTGCCTTTCTTTAGGATCAGCATGGTGTGTTGACTCCCCCTTGGGCTGACCACCTTGAGCTTTTATTTATTTATTTAAAACATTTCTATGCCGCCCCCCATTGCAACAAAGCCTCGGAGTGGCTCACAACATCCATAAAATAAACATAAAATGCAATCAATTTAAAAACTGGTACCATCTGGGCTATATATTAAAATCTATAAATACAATCATAATAAATTAACAGTTAAAATAACTTTTACATAAAAAGGGCTTCGCCTGGCGCCGAAAAGCAAGTAATGACGGCGCCAGGCGGGCCTCTCTGGGGAGCGCGTTCCAGAGGGCTTTCACCTCTTAAATAAAATGGGCTGTGCTTGCGGGATCGCAGCTTAAGAATGTGCTCTTGCAGAGAAAGTCCCTATGTTTGAGGTTCAGCACATTAACTTCTGTTGCTCTGCTTGCTCCCTTCCCCGCAGTCAACATGGCGACCAGTTCAGAAGGTTCATTCTCCACCTATGAGGCTGAAGAGGGCCAGTCCTCCAAACTGGTCCGAAAAGTCAAGGAGTCTCCGTTTGTTCCCATCGGTAAGCCTCCTGAAACTTCTTTACAAACGCGGCCCTTTGGGAACCAGGGAGAAAAGCACCGTTGTTCTGCCTTTCGGGTGGCGTGTGGGCATAATCGAGGCATGGGCTGCGCAAACAGGAACTATCCTGAAATATAACTTCCTCCTTGTAGCCACTGCTGGGTAGATGAAAGTCTGAGGCGGCAAACTCTGTCGCAACTTTCTCTAGGACAGGGTGCGAATCTCGGGGCTTGGGCGGGCCCAGAGTATCCGCCCCTCTCCTCTTCCTTCCCACATGTCAACCGCCCTGTTTTTTCCGTCGAGGAATCTGTGGCGCTCCCCCGAGATGCAGCAATGGCCACCAATGTGGGTGGCTGTCGGAGGGCAGTGAAGGAACTCTCGGAGGAGAGGGCCGCCGGTGGCTCCTGGTCCTGATGGGTGGAGACTGCCCCCAGGAGCAGGTGGGGGGTGTCCCTAGACCAGGTGCTGGGGAACTTGGGGGGGGTGGCTGTGGCACTCCTCCTTGCCACTGCTTGAACAGAACGCCGGACTCGCCTCCTGTCTCATCCAGCAGGGCCTTTGCACATAAATGGAGCAGATACAGGGCCTCGCCTGTCCCTTCCCAGCTGGTGCCCTCCAGATGTTTTGGACTACAGGCCCCATTAGCCTTAGAACGGCCGTGCTGACTGTGAAAGATGGGTGTTTCAGTCCAGCATGGGAGCAGAAGCACTTCTGAGACTGAAATGCCTGAAAGAGGAGCATGTCCAAAGCAGTCGATGACGTGCTCAGGAGCGTCCATATTTGCCCTCCCGCCCCTTGAGATCAGCGGCAGAGGCCCTTCTCCGGGGACCCTCTTTGAAAGAGGTCAGGAGACAGAGCACCCGGAGGAGGGCCTTCTCTGCGGTGGCGCCCCGACTATGGAATGCACTCCCCAGAGAGGTCCGCCTGGCGCCGTTGCTATTTGTTTTTCAGCACCAGGCCAAGACCTTTTTATTCAAATATTATTTTAATTGTTAATATTATTTTATTTTTTGGGCCAGGTCAACTCATATTATATTGTTTTATACTGTGCTTATTTATTTATTATTGTGAGCCGCCCCAAGGCTTCAGTGAATGGGGCAGCATAGAAGCCTTCTAAATAGATAGATAGATAGATAGATAGATAGATAGATAGATAGATAGGGGAAACTTTCATAGATTAAAACTCTGTTCAGAATTCTCCCTGTCCCGTGACCTTCTGCAGTTGCCTGGATCCCAGCTATTGACATGTCGTTACAGCCACTTTTAGCACAGTTTTGTCGAGGGTGTAGCAGCGTTTTATGGTCGAGGAAAATAAAAGTTTACAGCGCGAACCTGCCTGTCTCTCTCCTGCAGGCATTGTGGGCTGCCTGGCCACGGTGGCCTACGGTCTCTACACGCTGAAGAACAGAGGGAGCACCAAGATGTCCGTGCACCTGATTCACATGCGTGTGGGGGCGCAGGGGTTCGTCGTGGGGGCCATGACCTGCGGTACGTGCGTGAACGCGGGGCGGTTCCCCCGGCTGTGCTTCAGGTTGACCTGCGGCGGCCGCCTGGCCTGCCTCTCTCCGTTTGGTTTGCCGGGGTGTCTGGGCGACCGTGGCTGGATTTGGCCGCAGGCCGGTGTCGTGCGCCCTGCGCTCTGCCGTCACCAGTTCAGCTGCACGAACCTGACGTCACGCGGACAATCAGCCGGTTCAGTGGGCGCAGTCAGTTCACATAGGCCGGGCGTAGCTGATTCCCAGGCCCAAGAGGTGCCATCCCTGAAGATTCTCAAGCGGGCTGAGCGCTGGTGCGCTTGCGTCGCACTGGGCACTCCTTCGGCTCTGCCTTCACGAGGCGGTTTGTCGGTGGCTGCATGGTTGTTGAGTTGCCCCGGGGATGCTGTGGCTGCACAGCGCAACCCTTGTACCCGCTCTCTCCTGCTGTGCCCTGACAGTCCATGGGCTGCGCAGCTGACCCAGCAACAAGCGAGTTGTCGGGAAACCTTGCTGTGGCTTAGCGTGATGTGAGAACCAGGCCCACGTGCCCCCGCTTGATCTGCGGAGACCGAGGGCATATTGAGTTAGAAAAATCCATGCGCACGGTGCAGTGAAGCCGCTTGGCTTGTCTTTCAAGAGAATGTGTGAAAGAAGCAGAGCGAGTCAGAAGGGGCCTCCCAGGCCATCTAGTCTGACCCCTGGCTCCAGCTGGCTCCACTCAGGACATGCCCACCGTGTGCATAGGAACACGGAGTGCTGCTAAAACAGCTTCCTCAGCCGATGCCCAGGGCTCGCTCAGCTGCAGTCTTCTGCCGAGCATTCCTCTGCCTTCCTGGCTCCTTCTCCCAGCAAGACAGCTTCCCACTGCAATGTACATAGCTCACATTCGTCCTCCTTTCTGTCTTTCAGGTGTACTTTACTCCATGTATCGAGAATACTTGGCCAAGCCCAAGCCGTAGGGAAGCGTGAACTGAAACCTGCGTGTGCTGGTGTTCTTATGTACCCTAGAAATGGAGCTCACGTGGAAACAATGCTGTAATGAAAGCAAGACTGCAACTTTAACTTGGTGCAAACCCCTGTGATGCCCTCGTCACTCCGGACTGTTTGTGGCAAACGCAGCTTTTCCTCCCTGTTTAGATCAAGACCATAAACAGATCATTCACAATCTTTCTCATAATACATAATTGGGCACTTAGGCCTACTGTGGCTTAACGGTACAGAATTTTACCTTTAGGGTTTGGTGGCCAAGAAAGCAAGAAAGAGACGGGAGAGTTGTGTGAGGGTGTATGCCATCTCTGCTCCAGCCATTCTCAGAACCCCAGATTTCTTTAAAAAGTCATAGAACAACAGTCGGGGAATATTAATGAGCCTTAAATAGTGGATTAATCTATTAAACTCTCTTATTTATTATGCATTATCATGGAAAGTTAACTTATTCCTCCAAAAAGGCATTGTAGCTTCTGATTTTGTGTGGGGGGTTGCATTTTTTTTTCCTTTGGTGTTGTGCATAATGTTGTACTTAAGGGGCATGTGTCGAGCTTGCTTTTAGAAAATTCAAACAGTAAAGAATGGGGCCACATCCTGTACTGTTGTTTTTCAGAATTGGATGGAAAATGGGGCTGAAAACCTTTGAAATGCAAGGTTATACTAGACAGAGGTCCATAAATTGTGTTTGCCTTTGGTAGCCAGCCGAACTCGATTCTTGCCCCCGCGTTGGTTGCCTGAGGTGTGGCACCCAGTTGGAACACCTTGGGGGCTCAGGTGAGCTCTCCACATCAATGCCTTGAGGGGAGCGGAGCGCATCCTGGCCATGTCGAGCCATGGATTGTCTTGGGAAGTGGCCGGATGTCTCGCAGCTTTCTTGAGACGGTTCATGGCTCGGCAGGAGGTTGGGGAAGATCCTCGCTTGTTTCGGGAGAAGCCTTTAAAAAAATATGCGCACTTGCCAGTGACCTGTCGAGAGTGGGCAGAGCTGCCATTCAAAGCACAGTGTTGACGCTGTTCCACTGATAGCTAGTAGATCGAATCATCGAATAGGAAAGTTGGAAGGGGCCAGGAAGGCCATCGACTCCACCCCCTGCTGTTGCAGGACACCAAGTCACACCTTCCCACTCAGAAGGCTGCCCAGTTTCCTTTTGAATGTCCCAGTGTGGGAGAGCCCCCCACCTCTCCAGGCAGTTGGTTCCACTGCCATATTGCTCTGACTGTGAGGAAGCTCTTCCTGATGTCCAGCCTGGATCTGGGTTGTCACAACTTGGAATAGTCAACTCAGTCAATCACTCTGGGATCAGCAAGAGGAGATCTTGGCCTTCCTCTTTGTGACAGCCTTTGAGGTCCCTCTAGAGGGAGCTCATGTCCCATTCCCCCCCCCCCCCCGGTCTTCTCTTCCCAAGGCTGAACATGCCCAGTTCCCTCAGTCCCTCCTCACAGGGCAGTGTTTCCAAACCCTGGATCAATTTTGTTGCCCTCCTCTGGACCCTTTCTCATTTTTTTCTGCATTTTTCTTAAATCTTGTTACCCAGAACTAGACACAGGATTCCAGGTGAGCTCAGATTAGTGAGGTATATAGGGGAACTACTACTTCTCATGATTTGGAAGTAATGTATCCCATAATAGCATTTGCCCTTTTGGTGGCTGCATCGTATTGGCTTATATTTAACCTGTTGTCCACAATGACTCCCAAGATCTTTTTCAGTTCTGTTGAGCCACGTATTCCCCACCTTGTATCACCGCATTTGGTTTCTTTTTTCCAGGTGGGGGACTTGGCACTTGTCCTCCCTGAATCTCCCTGTGCTGCTTTCAGCCCAGTCTTCAAGTTTATCAAGACTGCCCTGGATCTTCATTCTGTCTTTAGGGTGTTTACTGTTCCACCCAGTTTTGTATCATCAACAAATCTGACTCTCTCTCCTTGTACGTCCGCATCCAAATAATAAAGATGCTGAAGAGCACCGGGCCCAGGACTGAACCCTGCGGCATCCCGCTGGTTACCTCCATCCCGTGTGAGGAGCTGCCACTGAGGAGCACTCTTTGTGTCCGACTCAGCAGCCAGTTGTGGATCCCCCTTATTGTTTTTCCATCCAGTCCAGTTTTTGCTAATTTGCTTATCAGAATGTCACGTGGCACTATGTCGAAAGCTTTGCTAAGGTCTAGGTAGATTAGAGAGGTGTTGAGAGGTTACCCAGTCAAAAAATGAGATTAAATTAGTCTGACAGGATTTATTTTTGATACATCCATGTTGGCTTCACTGCATTTTCTTCAAGTTTTTTTAATACTTTGCTCCAGAAATTTTCCAGTGATTGATGTCAGACGAACTGATCTATAGCTCCCCGGTTCATCTTTTTCCCCCTTTCTGAAGGTCGGGGCAGCAGTAGCCCTTCTCCAGTCATTTGGCCTGTCTCCTATTTTTCAAGATGGACTGAAGATGATAACCAATGATTCTGAGCGTTCCTTTGCTCGCTCTTTTACGCCTCTGGGATGGAGTTCATCAGACCCTGGAGATCTGAACGTGTTTATTCCATATCCTCGACCATTTTTCTGTCGATGCGCTCACTGTTGTGGCTACCAAGGCCAATGCGTACATTAACCCTTTGTCAAGCTGCTTGCCTTCTGTGGCAATGCACTGAGTGTTGCCGTTTAATGCAGTGCAGATCTGATCTAACAACTCGGTTTAGTAAACATGTGCATAAGGACAGTTGTGCTGTCACAACAGCGGTGTGTGTGTGGTGTGTCATTTTACCTGTTTCATTGTGTTAGGTCTTGCTAAGCACCGTGTGGAAGCCTTTGGAAGCAGGATAACCGGGGGGTGGGGGCACGCTGCTCTTTTTGGGTCCCAGAGCTACAGAGCAGGTGTTTCTCAGCATGCCAGCTTGCTGCTAGAATAAAACCGTAGCACAAGAGAAAGGCGGAACTTCTAATTTTGTATTAAAGCATGTTTGCACCATGGCAAGTGATGGTATATAAAAGCTAGGGAGCGTGAGGGGGCGGGAGGGAGAGCGCATGTGTACGCCCACATCTGTCTGGGGGTGAGTGGTTTGTTGAAGTGTGTTTCTGGTAAGTGGTATAGAATTCTTAAGAGCAATCTGGCAGCGTTTCCCCAGACAAGTCCGTTTCTGGTTATTCAACCTTTCTTCATTTTAGGAATATAATATTGCGGGTGGGTGACTTTTGTTCCTCCGTTTTTTAAACATTTGAGAGCCGGTTCACCCGGCAGTGTTCCTTTAGATCCACATCCTACCCGCCTCTTGTTCAGCGCATCCTTGGCTCTGAGATTTCCCCAAGTCTTGATGGCACGTGGCAGAGACGCTCGCCAGCATCTTCAGTTATATGAAGCAAGCCTGTTTCGTGCAGTGAAATCCCAAAATATTTCTACTACTTAACAAATCAATTAAAAAATTAACGGGGAGGTTGCATTCTATCCCCCTCACGTGCCAATCAGTCGAGACAGGAGGCCTTCCGCTCAATCCTGCAGCTCTGGGTTGTATTTTGTAGCTGTCCCCAGTCGGTTTGCTGCTGGGTCGCATTTCCTCCTCCTCCAGTCAAAAAGTGGCGCCCCCAGTTCACATCCCTGCTGAAGAGGAGTCGCCAGTTCAGAACCCATTGCTCTGCAGCACCGATGCAGAATTATTATTATTATTAGAACATTTCTATGCCGCCCCTTGCTGAAGCCTCAGGGCGGCTTACAACACAATAAAATATGCAGCCAGACTCTGGCATTGCCCCAGCAGCCTGGCCGGGCCGTGAGCTGTCGGATCACAAGCACCATGCGGCCTCAGCTGGGTGGGAGCGCACCCAGCGCGGCGTTCTGTGTAGCAGCCGAACAGCTGAACCAGTGGAGAACCCACGAGCGGGACATGGGTTCAGCAGCACCCTTGTTCCCCAGCTGTTCGTCTACATACATGCCAGAGCTCTGGGAGTGCGGCCGGGGTATGGCTGTCGGAACCAGTCACCCCTGGAGAGTTTTCTTCTCCATGAATCCATCCAGTCCCTTTTTCAGGCTCCCTGAATTGGTGGCCGTACCTGCCTGTCATTAGGTTGATGTGGTAATGCGGTCTTTTATCTCCTGCATCTTGTCAACTCATGGTGGTACATAAAATTGATGCACGGCATAGCAGTTCAAATAAAACCAATATTAAAAGCAGTCTGCCTTTCAAAATATCTGGTAAATAAAGATTCATATGGAGAAATATCCCTTTAACTAGCCCGGCCCCATGCTATTTAGGGCTTTAAATCTTACCGTCAGCAATTTGAATTTTGCCCGGAATTCAGCGGGGAGCCAGTGCGTGTGAGAAAGGACTGGCGTGACGTGAGCTCGTGGGCCCGCCGTTAACAGCCATGCGGCCTTGTTCTGTGCCGTTTGGAGTTTCCGCGTTCACAGCGACCCAGGCAAGAGGCTACCCGAGCACGGATCGCTGTGGCTGGACTCCGTCTGTCCAGAGAAGGAGGTGGTTGGAAACTCCGCCTTCACTGATCGAAGGCTCTCCTGGCCACCGCGTTCACCTGTGACCTGAGAGAGAATTCTGCCCCCGGGACCACCCCCAAACTGCAGAGCTTGTGCTTTGGGGGGGCGTGAGGCACAGCTGAACTCTGGCGAAATCCCCCACATCCATGGCGCGATTCCTCCTGGGTCAACTAGGCCTGTTGTCCTTCCCTGCATGCGTGGGATGGAAACAAGTTCACAAAGGGCTGTGTATACATCAGGTTTAACAGACTCTACTTCCCCTAAAAGGGATCTGCATGATATATGTTATTCCTGCCCTTTTACGAACTTTAGAATTTCCCCCTTAGTTCACCTCCAGCGGTTCTTTTGCCCTCTTTGGCCCAGTGCGGTTCCTCAGAAGTCGGCATCCGATGCAGCACATGATGCCGAGGTAAAGCTTTTTATTATAAAACGGAATAAGCTAGTGAAAGTTTTTTCCCATCCTGCTGGACGTGAATCACAGATGATTCCATAGTGCCATGTTCTTCTCAGGGAACATCCAACAAGTCAAACCTCACTGACCTGGAGCTCTCTAGCTGTGAGACTGCAATTCCCATCATTCCCAGCAGTATGAGCACAGGCTGTGGGGAAGCAAGTGGGTACTGTGTTGGAACAGTTTCATGAGGACTAGGTGACTGCACAAGGTATTCTCCAACTCCCAAGTGCTGGAAACTGTTCTGAGGTCAAGCTCCTGGCAGAACATTCCCAGATTTGCATTTCTACTGGCAGACATTCAATAATTCTCTTTGCAGAAGAGTGCCCTTTGTTTTGGCGGGGGGAGCAGGGGGGGTCCTATGATTATGTTTTTAAAGCTTCTGCAAATAATGTATTCGTATCTGCTGCTCCACATTTGCCAAGTCATAAAACTGGTTGTATTGAAGGCAGGACAACAGCTGGCTGCACTTCATGGGTTGTGAATTCTGGTTGTTTAAAGCACGGGTTGACATTACGTGCAAACTCAGGACCGTGGCTTGTTGCATTTGGGATACAGGGATGGGGAGGGCAGGCGAAGGAGGCGGAAACAACCCTGCGATTGAGAAAACAGACCACAGTTTGCTTGCTCATCTGCATCTTGCCATAAGACAACCCAGCTTGTCTCAACC